TGTTGTGAAAATGAATCCTGATGGGTCTGTGGCTAGACTTAAAGCTCGTTTAGTGGCAAAGGGATATACACAGACTTATGGTGTTGATTATACAGAAACATTCTCCCCTATCGCTAAGATAGCTTCAGTACGTATCTTTATTTCCTTAGTTGCGTCTAAACATTGGCCTTTGTATCAGATAGATGTCAAAAAGGCCTTTTTGCATGGTAATTTAGATGAGGAAGTCTACATGGAGCAACCTCCTGGGTTTGTTGCTCAGGGGGAGTCTGGGAGAGTGTGTAAATTGAAGAAGTCTCTATATGGCTTGAAGCAATCACCACGAGCTTGGTTTGGGAGGTTTAGTAGTGTGATTATTGAGTTTGTATGCAAAGGAGTATGTGTGATCATACTGTCTTTTTCAAGCACACTAATGTTGGGTGCATTCTCTTGATTGTTTATGTTGATGATATAGTAATCACAGGTAGTGATGCAGTGGGAATTGAAGCTCTTAAATCTTTTCTCAAAGAAAAGTTTCACACGAAAGATGTGGGAGTAATGAAGTATTTTCTAGGGATTGAAGTTGCTCGCTCTCGGACAGGGATATTTCTTTCCCAAAGGAAATATGTGTTAGATTTGCTTGATGATACTGGGTTGTTGGGATCAAAACCATGCGAGACCCTTATGGAGCAGGGTGTTAGACTTGTGGCTGGTGAGGGGGAGGCTTTTGACTCTCCAGAAAGATATAGGAAGTTGGTGGGAAAGTTGAACTATCTCACCATTACGCGTCCGGACATTGCTTTTCCAGTCAGTGTGGTAAGTCAATTCATGCAAGTACCTACACGAGCTCATTGGGAAGCAGCAGTTCGAATTGTAAAGCATCTCAAGAATGCGCCCGGTAAAGGCATTCTATATGCTGATCATGGACATATGAGAGTTGAGGCTTTTTCAGATGCTGATTGGGCAGGTTCGTTGAGCGACAGGAAGTCTACAACAGGATATTGTGTGTTCGTAGGAGGTAATTTGGTTTCTTAGAAAAGCAAGAAACAAACTGTTGTGGCTCGGTCCAGTGCGGAATCTGAGTATAGGGCAATGGCTCATGTCACATGTGAGATAACTTGGGTGCACAATATGTTGAAGGAGATTGGTGTGGAAGTGGTAAAGCCTATACGTTTATGGTGTGATAATCAAGCGGCTATACACATTTCAAATAATCCAGTGTTCCATGAGTGTACCAAGCATATTGAGGTAGATTGTCATTTTGTGCGTGAAAAGATTCAACAAGGCTTAATTTCTATGGCTCATGTTCGTAGTGGCGATCAACTAGCTGATTTGTTCACTAAAGGGCTCAGTAGGGACAGGGTTGAATATATTTGTAACAAGCTGGGCATGCTTAATATCTATGCTCCAGCTTGAGGGGGAGTGTTAGAAATAAGCAGTTATAAAAGATGAAAGGCATAGAAATAATAGGCTAGGAGATGAAAAGTCTGTGAAACTATCCATTGTTGTAGTATATATATCTGGGTTGTAAGCTGTCAAGGAACACACACAATAAACAAAGAAACAAGGAACGAGGTTAGTGTCCATAGCTTCTTCCTTTTTAGTTTTCTACAGTACACGAGGTCGGGCCTCCTACCCCCTTAGGGTAACCGAAGAGGCTGGATGGGTACCTCCACCCCTCCCGGAATAGTGAAAAATGAGTCCATGGCGAAGTTTTACTGCGTTTATTGAAGTTGAAGGGGAGCGGACCACCTTACAAGATATAAATATTGGAAGTACCACGCCTGTCGTGGTAGGCCTTAGCTTGGCATTGGTAATTCTCGATGAGGAGGTCTGGTGGTTGCCCTCGTTTAGGTTGGGGTCGTATTCTTCTGTCCAGGGGGAAGGTACGGCTACCTCAGAGGGGGTTCGGGCTTCAAAGTCGTAGGACGAGGAGAATGGGGTCTCACTTGTGACCCTCCTTGGGGTATAGGTAGCGTAGTAGGGTGCCGTTGTAGGGTCTTCCGTGGAATGTGTCCTCGAGGAGTAGGTAGGTAGGGAGCTCGAGCTTACACGGGGAGGACCTGGTAGGCCTCCGAAGTAGACTTCTTGAGGTCCTCCACCCGGGCTATCTTGGAGTTGTGTTCAGGGCCGAGGTTGAGGGGCCAAGCCAAGTAGGTCCACCTCGTATTGGGGAGGACGCCTGTCTTCTTATACTACTTAGGTGGTCTAGCTAGTAGGGAGCTCGAGCTTGCACGGGGAGGACCAGGTAGGCCTCTGAATTGGACTTCTTGAGGTCCTCCACCCGGGCAACGTTGGAGATTTATTCGGGACCAAGGTTGAGGGGTTGGGCTGAGTAGGTCCCCTAATAGGGAGCGGGGGCGTCCCCCAGATACTACCGTTAGGGAATGTCAAGAGCTCCTCTTGAGCTCCTTCCTCTCTGTGGAGAGGTACCTCTCGCATTGTTGCACCGGCTTGATTGTGGGGTCGACGGCGAGCCTGTGGGTGATGATGTCCCTGTTGAGGCCCGGCATAAGGGGTCGGGGCAAGTTGGCCTGCCCTCGACCGGGGTGCCGAACGCGTGAGGTGGTCATGTGCTTGGGCGCTGCGCCCTCTCGAGGGAGGCGGAGGCGGGGTCGGCACCCTTAGGGTGGCGTCCGGGCCGATCTGCGTACCTCCTTGGAGCCCCTCCGCGAGGCGGGCCGGTGTGACTGAGGCCTACTGAAGGGGCAGCCGCCCCCTCCCGGAAAAGAGCGAGATTTGGATGAGGAGGGGGGCCAACGCAGCATTGCGGTGGTGGGTGAGGTGATCTCTGAGGTCACCCGCCGACCTCAAAGAAAGGGTTCGTTGCTGACTGGTGGTCCCGTTGAGGCCACCCCCGGTAGGGGAAGCACGGGTGTTACGGGAGCTGCGAGAGTTGGACCTCGACCTTGCCATAGCTAGTGGATCATGGAGCACGCTCGAGCTTGTACGTCAACTCTCAACAAGAGAACCAATGATGGATTTAATTACTCGAGGTAGACCCGAATCACTAAATCCAATAAATGATAAATAGGAAAAGACAATGAATGTGTGTGTCACAGGGACAACCGTTGTATTAATGATCTTTTGTAGGGGAATTACAAAGAGTGTAGTAGTGATATAAAATGTAGATGTCCTAACAAAGACAAGGAGATGTCTTTTTTATACTAAGCAATCCTCCCAACCGACCCCAAGAGAATAGGGCGTGCGGTTGGATCTTGGTTGACCGAGTCACGCCGGGAGACCCCAGTGGTAGTCCTCGCCTGAGGTCCACGCCGGAGATTGGCTGAGTCACGCGGGGACGTGGCCGACCCACAGGTTGACCCTGACCTTCGCCGGCGCTGTGGTCGTCCCCCCACTGCGGTCCTCGTAGTAGACCTCAGCCAAGGTCTTCGCCGGGGACCCTGCTGGGGTCCCCCAGGCCCTTCGCATGTCGCCGCATCTCTCGGGTCGGTTTGCCCCGAGTCTCTTCTCCTAATATATCCATCAAGAATGTTGATATGGGTGAAGAACTATATAATAAGAAGAATTTTATTATATATTATAAATGTTTTGTAAGAAAATTATAAATGATAAGAATCAAAATCATTGAAAGTTTGTAAGGATGTATTCAATTTAGAATTTCAATGACTTTTGTAGACTTTTTAAAATAAGAAGTTGATAAAAGTCTATGAATGTTTTTTATATAGACTTTTTTAGAGTCTTATAAAGTTTTAAAAAGTTTTGAACGACTCTATGAAAGTCAATCAAAGTTTATTAAAATCTATCATTTTTAAAGTCTTTAAAACTCTACAAAAGTCATGATTGAATACACCCCCTTAGTTTGTCTGGTTTAAACAAAGAAAAAAAGTCTATAGAGATTAGTTTGGGGCTGGTGGGTTGGATTTTAACTATTTATATATATAAAAGAAAAGGCACAGAAATCCTATTCTAGTAAAGTGTTGATAAGTTTTTGAATACAAATATACTTTTAATAAAGACTATATAAAAGTTTAAATCAAGTACCAGCATATTTATAAAAACTTTTTAAAAGTATGAATTGAGATTTTAGAGAATTTTTAAAAGTTTAGATCAAATATATCTAGCCAAGCACTTTGTGCTCAGATGGCACCCGGATTGGATTCCCATATGGGAGGTTGTGAGTTTGAGCCTCAATGGAGGCATTATAGGCTCTTTGTGCTCCAGTAGGTTTAAAAATCTTTGAAAGTTTATAAAAGATTTGATTGGAGGTATTTCAAATAATAATAATAATAATAATAAATAAATCCTTGAGTGGGCAGGGGATAATTTGCCAGGGGGTCCCACAATTGAAACTATGATTATGTCCGAAATGCTCGTGGAATCCCGGAGAATATGTGTCTATGGAAGCCTTTTGCCTTTCGTGTTCTAATAATAATTAATTAATGTAACTTTGTAACATTGGACATCATTATTAATTCTTCCCAAATGCGCACCTTTATTCTATTTAAAATAAATTTCACTTTTCGTCACCTCATTATTATACATTAATTATATTTAATTTTAATTATTAAAAATTTATAATTAGTTGTATAACTATGTAATTTGTATCACATCTGATTTTGTCGTCTAATTTTCTGGCCAACTATTGCAAAGAGTGCTTCTTCAAAAAAAAAAAAAAAACAAATGCAGTGCCTCTTTCAAAAGTGCTCTTTCTGGAAGAAGTAAATGCAACTGGAATGAGCACTTCCGGCAATAATTTATCGGAAAATTAGACGGGAAGACCAAATGTGATACAAATTACATAATCATGCACCTAATTAGAAAATTTTAATAATTAAGGATCAAATGTGATTCATGTATAATAATTCACAGATCAAAAGTGAAATTTTCTCTTCTGTTTATATATGCTTTTATTCAAATACTCTTTGCGTTGATGAGAATTGTTATTGATTGTATTAACAGTGATTAATTACAAGATTACCGGGCTTAAGTATATATACAAGAATAGACAGAGGGAGACTGGATTGAGAATCATAAGTAGACTCAAATACATAGATAGAGTCCTAATACATAGACAGGGGTACAGATGTGAACTGTAGCTTGTCTCTAAGAAAATTAAACCTAGGACCTGCTAAAGCTTTTGTAAATATATCAGCAAGTTGATCTTTAGTGGAGATAAAGTTGATTTGAATCTCTCCCTTGGCAACTCTGTCCCGTACAAAATGATAATCAATCTCAACATGTTTAGTACGAGCATGAAGGATAGGATTAACACATAGATATGTAGCACCAAGATTATCACACCATAGCTTTGGAATAGAAACCCTAGTGACGCCAATCTCTCGTAAGAGGGAAAGAACCCATATTACCTCAGCACAAACATCAGCTAAACCCTTATATTTAGCCTCCGTAGAGGATCTCGCCACAGTTCTTTGCTTCTTGCACACCCAAGATACAAGATTTGATCCAAGAAAGATAGCATAAGCACTGGTTGATTTACGATCCTCAGGGCAGCCAGCCCAGTCTGAGGTAGAGAAGGCATGCAATTCTCTAGACTTAGATTTTCGAATACATAAACCATAAGATAGAGTCCCCTTGACCGTCGGCGCATGCATGTGTTGACAAAGTTGATTGACTGCAAAAGATAGATCTGGCCTGGTAATAGTAAGATACTTAAGAGCTCCAACCAAACTTCGATATTGCGTTGGATCATCATATAAATCTATAGAGTGAACAAGAGATTTCGAAATAGGTATTGGGGTGGACAGAGGTTTGCAATCAGTCATACCAACACGTTTCAAAATATCCACTATATACCGTTGTTGAGATAGAAGAATCTCATCACTACATTTAATGGTTTCAATGCCAAGAAAGAAACCGGGTTCACCGAGATCCCTAATCTTCAAAGTAGTAGATAATTTAGATAATAAATAACTCACAAGATTCGGATCACTGCCCATCGCCAAGATATCATCAACATAAACAAGAAGATAAAAATGAGTGGAATTCTGAGAGTAATAAAATAATGACACATCTGTTTTCGAAGCCTGGAATCCAACGGACAATAAAAAAAGCATGAAGACGGTTAAACCAAGCTCTTGGGGCTTGTTTCAACCCATACAAGGATCTCTTCAACAAACATACATGATTAGGAAATTGAACATCAATATATCCAGGTGGTTGTTGCATGTAAACAGTTTCAGTCAAATTACCATTGAGAAAAGCATTATGAACGTCTAGCTATCTCACAGTCTAACCAGAAGATATAGCTAAAGAGAGAAGTAACCTGATTGTGCAGGGTTTTACAACTGGACTGAATGTGTCAAAAAAATCTTGACCTGGAACCTGATTAAATCTCTTTGCTACCAACCTGGCTTTTTATCTCTCAATTGAACCATCCGCTTTTCTCTTGGTTCGAAAGACCCATTTACAGCCAATCACATTTTTATTTGGTTTAGACGGAACCAAACACCATGTCCGATTCTGTAATAAAGCATTAAATTCCTCATCCATAGCCTGGCGCCATTCCAAGTTTTTGACAACCTATGTGTAACAAGTGGGATCAGTGGTGCAAACCTGAGCTGTCAAAACTGTAGGGGGTGCGCGAGATTGGCTCCGTGTCTCCATGTCATGCATGCGAACATTCGGCCGAGTAGACCGGCCCCGTGTGCTCCCCCGCGGACGAGCAGCTGCCACCGAGACAGCCTACTACGCTGTCTTGGTCTCAATAGGCGCTGCCGGCAGTGCAGCGTCGTTCTGTGCAGGCGCTGCCGGGAGTGCGGGTTCGGTCCGAACCGGTGCGGCTGGCTATGCTGGTTCGGACTGAATGCGGGCAGTGGGATTGGTCACCATGAGGTGAAGAATAGATCCAACCCACGGCTTAGATTGAGAATCTAAAATTTTCTACACAGAAGTTTTAGTAGCAAAAAGAAAAACAGCTTCATCAAATCTGACATGCCTACACACGAACAGCTTATTAGTCTGTAAGTCCATACATCTATATCCCATCCCTTAAAAGACTCATGATAACAAAAAATAAATAAATAAATAAAAACGCATTAAGAGGATCTGTAAGACATTTTGTGACGATTATAGGGACGTAGATGAGGATAACAAAGGCAACCAATGACCCGAAGAACAGAATATGAAGGAGGAGATTTATGGAATAATGAATGAGGACTGGAATTATTTAAAATAGCATATGAATTCTGTTAATTAAATAAACCACAGTCTCAAACGCAAAATCCCAAAATCTAGATGGAACAGACGCATGAGCCATGAGAGTGAGACCGGTTTCGACAATATGTCTATGTTTTCGCTCCACACGGTCATTTTGTTCGTGAGTATAGGCACATGACTGTCTATGATAGATTCCTAATTTTTCGAGATAGGAATGCAACTTTTTGTACTCGGCACCTAAATTAGATTGAAGAGATTTGATCTTACGATTGAAAAGTCGTTCAACAAGGACACAAAACTTTTCAAAGATATCATAGAGATCAGAAAATACCAAGTAAAACGAGAGAAATCATCGACAAAGAGAAAAAAGTATTTATAACCATCAGAAGATAAGAGAGGAGCTGGACCCCAAATATCAGTGTAGATTAAATCAAGAATATTTGAACTAGAAGTATCAATATGTGGTAATGAAAAACGAGCAAATTTACCCATTTGAGACGCATTACATAAACTAGAATTAAAACGAATAGAACTACTAGACCCACTAACCGAACAAAAAGGAACAACACGACTAAGGACACGATGGTGTGGATGACCCAAACGGTCATGCCAGACAGACGGAGACGCACGAGCTGAAAGAAACGCGAAAGGTGACGAACTCGGAACTGGTAGCGTATATAACCCACCAGAACTATTGCCCCGAAGAAGAATCTCCTTGGTGTTGGTATCCTTCACAACAAAAAGGGATGGGTGAAACTCAAAGAATACTTTATTATCAGCTGTAAATTTTTAAATGGATAATAAAGAAATAGATAAAGTGGGGACATGAAGTATATTAGATAAATGAAACGACCTAGAGGGGGTATGAAAAGATGCATGACCAATATGACTAATAGGAAAACCTGTACCATCACCGACACGGAGTGTGTCATTACCATTATACTCGTTCGAGATAGAGAGTGCCGCTATATTTGGAGTCGCATGGTTTGTTTCACCCATGTCTAGGAACCAAGTGTGAGAGTTCGGTGAGGGATTTGAAGGAGTTCCCTGATAAACCATATTAGCTTGTGGATCCTTTTCATACCGTTTGTAACATGTATGCGTAGTGTGCCCTAGGTTCCCACAAAGTTGACATTTAGGTTGGTGATTGTCGTTCCTACCACTACGGCCACGACCACCATTCCCGCGATGGCCGCCACCACCGCCATGAGACTGCCCAGATTGCCCGCTGGACTACCCGGAGCCACGCCCGCTACCACGCAACTGGCCACCCTTGCCGCGCTGCTGCTACCCGGTTTTCTGGACGAAGAAAGCTACCGGCGACGAACCCCCACTGCCGGCGACGAACTCCTCGGAACCAAGGAGATCCGAGAGTTCATGAAGCGTTACCGGTGTTCCTTGGACATTGAGAGAAGATACAAGACTCCAAAATTTAGGCCGCAAACCCTAGAATTCGTAAAGGTTTTGTTCTTCAAGTGGAAGTTGCTAGGCGGCGAGAATTAGGTTTTCAATGAGAACCTGTGCCCGACCGATATAATCAGTGGCGGAGGCATCACCCTGTTGCAGCGTCTGAAGTTTCCTGAGAAGGTTCAATGAGTGAAACCGAGATATAGAGGCAAGTGCGGAGGTAACGACGTCGTCACATTTAGTGACAAATCTTTTGTGACAATTCATAATTTAGTCACAAATAATACCCTTTTTGTGACCAAACAAATAATTCGACACTATTGTGTGGTGTAATTGTGATAACTTTTTTTTTGTCACAAATAATATGGTAATTGTGACGAGTAAGTATTTGTTACAAATAAGTTGTCAATATTACTAGAATAATAGTGTCGTAACATACGTTGTCACTATTTGTTGTCACAAAATGTATGCTCATTTTGGCGGGATTATAATTATGGTGGGAACGAATGTAATTGTGACAAAATATAAAGCTGACACAAATTTTTATACTTTTTGTGACAAATAGTTGTGGTCACTCTTGTTTATAATATTGTGACAACTTTTTTGTCAATAAAAATACAATTAGTTAGTACTATTAGAAATGAGAAACAATTGTGAGAAAAAATAATGTTGTAACTAATATTGTCTTTTTTTGTGATGAAATTGTTACAAATATTTGTGATGCTCTATAATTTCGTAACAAAAAAAAAAAAAAAAAAAAAAAAAAAAAAAAAAAAAACTAAATTGTGGCAATAAATTGTGTTGATTTCATTTTTTTTTTACTAATTTATGATAATTGAGATGAGTAATTAATTGTTACAATGACTTTATCAGTATAATTAAATAGATGAATATTGTGTAAAGTTATGTTGTAATCAATGTTTGCCACTAATGGATTCGAGTTGGTGTCAAGTAATTTGGTGTGAACTAGGTATTAATATTATGGTCACTTAAAATGCAAGTAGTCAGTGCATCTTAAAACGAATGTAATTGTGAAAATAAATTTTATAATCACTCATTTTTAAACGTTTTTATGTGACATATAAGTTCACTATCACTTATTTTACTAATTTGTCAAATATCAAAAAAAAATTTTAAATAAAAATGTATATGTTTAGTACCAACAATACATTTCAAAAAGGTTTATTAAAATTAAATATTCAAACTCAAAATATGAAAAGTAAAGAATATGAAAAGCTCCTGCCTCTCTAGACGTAAGAATGCCATTCTTAGGGATTGCTTGTTCTTCTATCAATATGGTGTCTTCATCCCTAAGTTTGATTCAAAATTAATTAAATTAATCGGATGACTGCCTAACGATAATAGCCTAGTATTTGTACATTAAGAGCCATCCAATGTAGTACAATTTTTACAATATGGTTGTACCAAATATATAATATCAAATAAATTATATATAATAAAAAATTGGTTATGGATCAATTAATCGAATTAGTCAAAGTATAAATTAGTTTGGTTGATTAGGTAACGCAATTTCTCAAAATAAAAATTTAATTAGTTTGATTCAAAATTAATCAAATTAATAGAATTACTCCTAATCACATTAGCCTATTATTTGTACATTAAGAGTCATCCTCTTAGTACAATTTTTGTACAAGATGATTGTATCAAATATATAATTTAAAATATATTATACATAATAAATATTAATTAATTCGACCAATTAATTGAAATAATCAAAAGTATTGATTTAATTGGTTAATTAGGTAACAATTTCACCCACACGGTAATTAAATTTTAAATTAACCAAATTATTGAACAAGTTTAGTCTTTTTGTTATTTATGTACATTATATCAAAATTAATTATTTAAAATATTAACTATAGTCAAATATTTCTTTATGTTATGTATTATTCTTTAGTAATTATTTATTAAATTTGGAAAGTAAAGAATAAAATGATAATGGCGCCTTTTTTTTCTAAAAAAAAATTGGCGCACTTTTACTAGTTTTTTAAAATCAGAATATGTCGACAGTCCATACTGCACGGCTAGTGTGATGTCCGATAACCAAGGACATAACTTCATCAGACAACGATGACATGAGCATAGAGAGAAGCGCTTGATCTTGACGAACCCATGGATGATAGGCAGGATTCGACAGAGGCGACGCTCCCTCTTCGCCGGACGGGATCGTGGCCAGCGGGCAGGGATTGGTTCCGTCAATGAAACCCATTAGGTTATGTCCGTTAAGAAATTAAACAACTTGAGCCCTCCAAAATAAGAAGTTCCGATGAGTCAATTTGACATTGATTAAGTGATGAGCCGTGGAGAGGGTGGTTACATTTGAAATAACCGATGAGAGAGGGGCATTGAAAAC